CTGGACCTTTACTAGCTGTTGATTTTCTTTATTTGGACCCAGCTGATTTGTAATTGGTTACCCCTGATCTAGCAGATTTAAATCATTTTGTAATGTCTCCAGTGGCCTCAAGGGGTGCAAAAAGTGAAAGTTTGAGGTCTAGCGCCCCTAGTGGTTATAAAGCCATCATTTCCAAATAAATCATGTTTTGTGGCAGACAGAGGCATGGGTGGTTCTAGATGGGGGCCAGCAGGGGCCAGTGCCCCTGCAGAACTGGCACTGCCCCTGTACTGAAAACATATACTACAAATATGGAAATATAATAAGGCACATTTTTCTTAGACTAAGTCTATTTTCCCTCAGTTTGAGCAGGTAGGTTGGAGAATTTGCTAATGGAATTAGATGATTTAGGTTTAAAATGGCCAAAAAAAAATTATATGCATAATATTTATCTTATTTTAAGAGAACATTTACTCATTCCATTGGCAGATTAACAAAGTTACCTGCTCAAATGAATGCACAACATTTTTTTAAAAGACAATTTTACTTTTTAGATCAATTTATTTAGTTTAATACAAAATAAATGTGTTATGATACGCGCTAATTGTCCCTTGGACCAACTTTAATATTTTGCGTTTACTTTAACAATCACTTTGAAATTGCAGTCAGCCTTAAACTTCAGTGGTACCAAGATCGGATCAGTCTTCATAAGTTAGATCAGGAGTTCCAAAAAAAAAAAATTTAAAACAATCCACTGGACTTTGTTTCCAAGTTTAAAGATGCTTTGCTTCCCATCCAGAATGCTTTTTATATTCAAAATGTCAGAAATAGCATTGAGTTCGAGGTTTTAACGCTTAAGGTAAGGTTTAAATGCTATTCCTGACATTTTGAATTGAAAAAGCTTCCTGGATGGGAAGCGAAACATCTTTAAACTTGGAAACAAAGTCTAATTGTTTTTTTTGGAATGACCTGGACCTGGACTTAGATCAGAAGTCTACAACCTTGGCTTTGTGGCTCACTTAAAGGTATAGTGGAGGATATTAATTTTCAGGGTGGATCATCAAAATAAGGGGTTCCTTCTAATTGTCAATCATTGTGGTGATCGGTTTACGTAAAAGGCCGTCCTACGTGCTCGTCCCCATTTTCACTTAACGGTGGTGAGTCTGACATAGTGGAAAAATTGCAAATCTTCTTTTGGAGAGTAAGCTTGTAGGAGTGATGCAAAGAGCAACTTTAAACAGAGCGAGAGGAGAAATGGGCTCGTGCACACGTTTAATGGGCGCTCCCTCTCGGGAGCAGGCACCGGGTTGTGCATGTGCATTTTTTTTTTAAAGTGGCAAAGTTGGGTCTTTTCAAAAATTCATGAAACTCCTCCACTATACCTTTAATACACTAAAAAATGAGCCCTTGCCCTGTTCGTTTGATTTTTATGTTTGATACTTTTGTTGTGGCCCCATTACAAAACACTGGCCCCATCTTGGGCCCCTTTGTAAAGTTCGTCTCGGCTCACTACTGACAGAGGTCAGAGACCGTTAATCTGTGTAGGTCAGCTGCTGAAAGCCTCGCTCTCCTAGACCCCGTCCACACGAAACCAAACCCTGGCCTAAACGCACAAATTTTTCGCCAAACCAGCCTGTTAGGTTTAAACACCAAACACCTTATTCAGCAACCTGTACAAAGAAAGACAC